GCGGCTAGCAGACGGTCGGTTTAGCCAGTCTGTCTGCTTCCTGACCGGGGCCCCAGATAGTCAAGTACAAACTCTAAGACTATGTGCCATATTTCTAGACAGAAGAGCGGCACCACCCCAGGAGGGATGAAGACCATCTCTTTTCAACAGGTCAGGTCTGCCCCAAAAACTTGTCCAATTGTCTATGAAACCTATGTTAAGCTTCTGATGCTTTTGGGAAACGCAGCCCTATTTGGACAAGCACTGTGGGCCATGCTTCAGCAGCGAACGCTGTCTGTGATTGATTGGTTCTGTCTTTCAGCATTTGCGTGTGTTCTGAGAGAGTGTGTTCAGGAGGAATGGTTCTATCCAACACAATTATTCGCTAATATAGTCTAATTTTCCACTTAGAAGCTTATTTTATGCACTGAATTTCTTGATAATTAAATAAAATTAATGGTTAAAAAAATGCACTTTAGAATCGATATTTTTATGTGAGGATCGATCCTTTCGATACAACATCAGTATCGAAGTATCGATACTTAAGGATCGATCCGCCCATCCCTATTCAATAATCGACCTGAAATAGTAGACCATCCGGGGACTTTTGGCATGCTCTTTTCAACATACTATGCTTTGGGACACACTTATTCTAATCTCACATACTATTTAGGATGGATAGTATGAACATTGAGACGCAGGGTCTGTCTAGTACACTGGACGTGACAAAGCGACCTTTGAAAATCATTTGAAATTTGTGTCAATACGTCATAAATAGAACGCAGCAGCAGTTTTTTGTCGGGATTTGTCGTGCCGTGCCGCGCCGCATCCAGTGTAGACCATAGATATGTATATATATCTATGGTGTAGACAGCATCACTGATTATAATGAGTTCTATAGTATTTTGTCGCGCCACTCATATTCAATACATATTTAATTATGTATTTTATTTATTTCCATATTCTTTAAAATATAGATAAGTCTCTTTTTAGCTTGAAATGTTTTTGTATGTGTGTGCTTGTTTATATGATTTATCAGAACACAAATTTGTATAATTACATGGGTATTACACTGATATAACAATGTAAATGTGGTTTATGATGAAGTTTCTTGAGTCCTCATAATTCAAATTTTATTAAAAATGGATGTATGCAGAATTTTTTGTGTGATGGGTAGGTGTACAGTTTGTATAGTAAAAAATCATTATGTCTATGGAGTGTCCCCGCAAATTAGATGTGTAGTAATACTCCAAATGATTGACCTGTGCAAAATTTGTCCCCATGAGCATAACAGCTTTTTAAATGATAAATTATACTAAATGATGTTTATGAAAATATAAAAAATGTAGAAAGTTTACTGTGATGGGTAGGTTTAGGGGATGATACTGTATAAAATTCATTAATATAATGTAAATATAAATATTAAAGCTTCTATATATAATGTAGAAACTATAATTTTCTGTGAAACTGCTTTGCAACAATTTGTTTTATGAAAAGCTATACAAATAAACGTGAATTGAATTGAATTATGTCTATGGAAAGCCTCCATAAAACATGGATATTTGACATGTGCATTGCCACAATAGCCCTTATCGTTTGGCCTGTTAAAATATGTATTTTTTTCCCTTTACTTATTTCGACGTTGCTGGTTCCTCAACAATCGATCAATAACTTTTTCTAACATGACAAACTCTTTTTTCCCGCTCCTGGTAAAATGTACAACGTTTGTATATTTTTAGTGGCGACTTAGCATACTGTATAAAAATAAACATTTACAATAGTTTATATATAATCACTGGAGCACTGGAGAAGTTTTGACATGCTCTGACATTTGCGTGTGCGTGTGTGTGTGTGTGTGTGTGTGTGAGAGAGAGAGAGAGAGAGGGTGAGGGGGAGAAAGAGAGACAGAGGAGCTCAAAGAAAGATTTCTTTTTCCAACTTAAACCTCTCATTTGAAGAATGGTCATCCTTGCACGAGGAAAACTTTTTTTCTCACGGAAAAATGTAAGGGGAATTTTATAAATTTCTTTATTTTATTGATTTATTTTCAATTCATTATTAGGCGTATTATTTAAATCCTTTTTTATAATGCTGATAATCGTTTTATACAGTCATCAGATTATATGTGTGGGTGCACACACACATATTGTGATATGTCCTTCATGATCTATTAAAATTGTATACTTATTTTGATATTATTCTTAAAACCGATATCTTCTTTCTCACATCCCACATGTCCATGGGAAGTGTCCGGTTTCATTTTTGGTCTCTCTCTCTCTCTCTCTCTCTCTCTCTGTATGGCAACCAAAAATGAAACCGGACACTTCCCATGGACATGTGGTCTACAGATGGGAGGTACCCCCGGATGTGCATAAAATCTAAATTCTTAAAGTACTATAACCACAATACTTACCATGGTTTTACCTCAGTAACCGTAGTTGTACTGTGGTATTTGTAGTTAAAGCACAGTAACGCAACACTTACCATGCTTTTGCCATAGTGACTGTACTTTTAAAGGGGTCATATAATGCAATTTCAAATTTTCCTTTCTCTTTGGAGTGTTACAAGCTCTTGGTGCATAAAGACCCTTCGTCAAATCCGCCGGCTCACGCCCGCCGCCTCTGCTCCCTCTAGCCCTCCGGCCGTTCCTCTAGGCCACCGTGTGTGATGCTGTGTTTCGTTGTGAAAGCGAAACTACTTTGTTTTAAAAGACAGTATAAGTCATTATAATCCATAATTATGAAGGCGGGGCATAGAGGAGAAACAATAGTGTACAGTATGTGGAAAATAATGTGTTTTTTTAACCATAAACCGCATAAACACATTTCATTACACCAAATACACAAAATAATGTTCTTTTTTAACAACATCATATGACCCCTTTAATGTGGTATTTGTAGATAAAGCAACCACAACACTTACTATGGGCTTACCTCAGTAACCGTAGTTTTACAGTGGTAGTTGTAGATAAAGCACAGTAACAACAACGCTTGCCACGCCTTTAATGCCTTTTTGTGAAGTGATTGTAATTCAATATTTTTTTCTATCTTGCAGTTATGTCAGATCACATACTCCACAACAACCTGTAATCCAGTAGCTCTTTTAAGACGCCATCTCTTGTAAAAGTTCTCTCTCTCTCTCTAGCTCTCTCTCTCTCGGCTTTACCTTTCCTATTTTTCCGAACTGTAATCCACGATTCATTTACATATAATTTTGCTCTCTCTCTTTCTGTGGTTCATCATGGCCTTTTTTTTTAAAGCTCAGAATAAAATTTTGACCAATTCTGTCAGAAAGCTGCTAGAATTAACAGGGAACTTGAACTCGAAGCTCCCAATGCTGATCTTGAAGAGGCTGCCAAGGAGGCTGAACAAGTCATTCAAAGGTTCAACCCTTCACAGGTAATGTTGAAGATATTTAGTTATAACTGATTTGCATTAATAAATGCATCCTTATTTTATGTGTTAATAATAACTTTCCTTACAGTACTTCCTCTCAAATATTATAGTCACAGTTCATTTTTAACACACTGTCTCAACATGTATACATTTCTCTTTGTTTCAGCTGAAAGGGAAGACCAAAGGAAGGCCTGTCATGGGATTTGAATTTGACCATCTTGTGCGTTTATAGAGAAGACCAAAAGCTGCAAAGTCAAACACTTCCAATGGTACATCTGTGTTGGTCTGAGCACCTTGACTGAACTTTACTGTAGTTACATTTTGCACAGCATGTGATATTTCTTAAACTTTGGTTTACATACCCCACGGCCCCATCAGAAAGAACCCCCAGAAAAGTGTCATGTCGAAGTAGTAATAATTCATACAATTTACCAAGTCAGCAAATTCATATGATATTGTACAAGCATACTCGTACAAAATTCTACGACTTTTACTCCTACTGCTGTCATTGGCCATTGCCTCAACTCTCATGCAGATTGTGCCGATTGTAAGTAGTCAGAGTGTTTATATCATAAAGTTTATATTAAGTCCATTGTCTTTTATTAATCTTTACAAATTGGTGCCATCTCTTCTCGTTCTAACAGTACATGATATCTGTCCACACCTCAGAGTCTGCCTTTCTTTCCATGTTGATTTTTATTGAACACATCTGTCTAAGAAGCAAGAGACTGGGAATGCTAGTTTAACTTGTCACGTGACAAATCAGATCTTCAATTAATTTGGCTAAATCAGATTACTTAAAGCTGTTCACACCAAGAACAATAACTATAATAAGAACTATTTTAGCATCCACACCAACAGATGATAAGATTCTGTTTACTGTTATACACGCTGCAGTTATGTTGTTATCTGCCATTTGTTGTTGTCAATGTTTTTATTGTTCATCATGTGATCAATTCTCTTTCTTCATCTTGCAGGATTTCTCACAGATTACTTACACGTGGAAGCTTTTGGAAGGGCTGATATTGTGGAGAGCTGATGGAGAATGATCTCCATCAGCTCTCCACAATATCAGCCCTTCCAAAAGCTTCCACATCACTCTGTCATGTGGCACATCTGCTCTCAGTCCTTTACTGCCAACTTCCAATCTTAGCATGTCTACTTGTATTAATTTCTCTTCTACAGTCCACATTCCCATCTCATCCCATTATGCTGATCAGTTGTGTAACTAAGCACTCTGTAAGGGGGCTTTGATCTCCTCGTGAAGCAAAAAATCAGGAACTCTCGCAACACACATGCCATACAACAAAACAATAAACTTTCTAATCTGACAGGAAGATCTGGGAGAAAGACCATTGCCCATCTATCCCTTCACCCATTCTTAGGCCCCTTCCTTCCTTCTTGAGCAGATGGCCCAGGCCATAAAAGTTGACTTAGGGGTGACAAGAACTCAAGTTTCTTATATACTTATATCATGCATTTACTATATCTTCAGAATTCATAAGCATAACCCTTTCATGTTTGGCATCAATTTTACAGTCCCGGTGCGATTGGAAATATGATCTCAGTCTCATATCAGTAGAACAAACCAAAAATAAAGATCTAAAATCTGAGGAAAATTCTGTTCTTGTGGTGTGGGTTGTCCACTGTTAAGGTCCTTTCCAGATGTTGTTTTTTCTCAGGTCACTTCATGTCCCAGCAAAAGTTCTGTGAAGTTTTTATAATTTATGGTTGTTTGTTCTGTTTTCTGATTTGGGTATTTAAAGAGAATTGGCGAAACATTCAAGGAAGCATCTGTAAACTTCCCACACGACTGCCATGTGTCTCTCTATTTGCCAGGTATGCTGATTTTGTTACCGCAAATTTACAGCCAGGATAGGTCAAACTGGAGGCTCATGAATGATAGGAGCAGTAGGCACGCCATCGGAAACCTTCTGATTTCTGTCTATCACTGGTGTTAGCAAGTTGTATGGGAAAGGACTAAGTGAACTACACTTTTTGTCATAAGCAAGCCGTAGGCGGCAGGCAAAACAGGTATTAGTCTACCTATACCCTCTGACTAGCATCAGGTTGGCGAGTTTGTGATCGTGAGACCGACGCCTTCGGCCGACGCTAGGCTCAAAAGAGACATTAGGTCCCCAGTGAACGGATAATTGAAAGTATAGCGTGTCCAGAATAATCAGGTATTTAAATTATAACACAACGAACATTATGATCAGTTTTAAAAATTATCATTGCAATTTGTATTTAATAAACACTTGAAATTGGAGTCCAGAAAATAACCAGAAAATACACTCTAAAACTGAGGTAAAATCCTTAAGCATCTAGAGAACTTGATCATAAATGCTTCAGAAAACAACTCAAAACAAACTGAGGGGCAAGTGCAAAATACAGAGAGCCCATACAAGAACCTACAAACAGACCTTGCTAACCTACTAGCAAAATATAACAACCCCCAATAGGGGTGCGTGGCCTCCGTTGCTATAGGAAGCATTATCACAAGCGGCAATCAAATCAAAATAAGAGCTAACATACTTATTGACACCGGCGCTGCTTGCTCCTGCACAAATATTCCACTACCACTAAGCATGCGAACAATTCAAATCTAGGGCATAGGTGATACTGTAATGACAGCAACTCAAACGCAGCCGGTCCAGCTTGACTAATAATGAGCCATAACTAATAAGGTAATATTAAAAGAGCCGTTCTGGTATTTACCAGATAACAGTGAGGGTACTGTATTGGGAATGGACATTATGCAAAAACATGGCTTTGTAATTCACTGTTTTGAGAAACAAATTGAATTACAAACAAACAAAACAACAAAGAAAGGCCTGTTACAAAGAACTGCCAGCTTCATGTCCATATCCAATACAGACCTGGTTCAGCTTCTCATCAATAAACACAGCGACGTTTGGGCTAATCATGAACACGACTGCAGCCTCATTGACTTTGAAGTTTGTATTGAGGGAGAGCCACCTCCCCCACAAAAACAATACCGCATTAAGCCAGAGGCTGAAGCTGCTGTCCATGAGATAGTACAACAGCTTGAGAAGAGGGGCATAGTTCGGTGATGCTGTTCAACTACCTATACTCCGTGCTTACCGGTACCAAAACCTAATGGTAAATGGCGTCTATGTATTGATTACCAGTGTCTCAACAAAGTTTTGCCTAAAGCAACACCTATAGTGGCAAACCCAGCAACTATTCTGTCACAAGTTTCGACCAATGCCTCGTGGTTCACAGTTCTTGACATTAAGAATGGCTTTTGGTCTATTAAGGTTAAACGAGAAGATCAATGGAAATTAGCCTTCACGGTTAATCAATTACAGTATACATGGGAACGAATGCCACAGGGCCTTCATAACAGCCCAGCTATCTTTCACAGAGCTGTGGCAGATGCTCTCGGTCCCGAACTAGGGACCGGTGAAGTAGTTCACTATGTAGATGATATATTGATAGCCACAGAAGGACCACTTGAGAACCACTTGCAACTGGTCGATAAAGTGTTACAGATACTGGGAAAAGCCGGCTTTAAAATGAACAAAGAAAAAGCCCAGATTGCACAAAAAGAAGTACACTACTTAGGGTACACACTCACTCAAAGCTACCGAGCACTGACAGATGATAGGAGGAAATGCATTGCCGAACTGCCCCGACCTCACACTTTAAATGCGTTGCAAAAGGTACTCTAGGCACAGCAAACTATTTATGAGATTTCATCCCTGATTTTGCAAATACTGCAGCACCTTTGTACTCGCTTCTAAAAGGGAAAACAAGACCAAACGATGTTCTTGAATGGACTGATGAACACGAGGAGGCCTTTTCTAATTGGAAACAATGTCTCTGCTCCGCACCCGCCCTGGGTTTGCCCAACCCATCAAAGTCCTTTCATATTCAAGTAGACACACATGAAATTACACTAAGTGGAGTCTTAGCTCAGGAATATGGGGGAAAATTGTGTCCAATTGCATATTACAGCCGTAGAAAATCTCTGGTCGAGCAAGGATTCGACCCTTGTACACAGCATGTGCTGGCGGTGCATTGGATGATAACAGTGACAGAACCCATTGTTGGGTTTCAACCTATTGTTGTCCATACAATGCACACACCAGTACGAATGCTGCTACAAGGCCGAATAAAAGGAGTCTCTTCCCAAAGATTAGCGAGATGGCTAACAGACATTCAAGCGTGCGAAATCATGATAAAAAACACTCAAATTCTTTCTGCTCGGGGATATTGAGGGACACCCACACATCTGCCAACCTGAACAGGAGGCGCAAAGCCTTGTACATGATCAGCCATTGCCAGGCCAAGTGCCTGTTTACATAGACGGTTCCCGATTCTGTCAAAATGGTAATTTCTTTACTGGTTGCGCAGTGTGGGCTCCTCATCTTTCCGATTCAGATGCTAGACAGCAGCTATTATTTAAACTACCACCAAACATGTCCGAGGAAGAAGCCTAACTTGTGGCATTGCTAGAAGCGATTAAAGCACACCCCGAACCGCTCTGCGTGTACACAGACAGCCGTTATGCATTTGGCGTAGTGACTGACTTTATGGCTCTAGTGACTGACTTTATGGCTCAATGGCAATTATGAAAATTTCTCACCTCCGCTGGAACGCCTGTAAAACATTACATCACCATAACTGCAATCTGGCAAGAAATACAAGCGCGAGATACCCCCATTCCCTTTCAGTCGGTCACTCTCGATGTCACGTAGGATGACCGACGAATTGGGATCTCGCTTAGAGAGACCAATCTACTTCGAGTGTAAACTAAATGTTTTCCTCGCTGCCCCACTGCAGGTACGCCTGTAGTTCTGTTGGTACCACTTGCGCGGCGTCTGGGAGCCTGGCTAGCGCTACCCAGCCCGTCTCGATGGCTTCTTCGAACCGCCAGGCTCGGCTATGCGCTTCAGTTCACCCGGCGCCCTCCCAAGTGCCGAGTCCCGAGGTGGGTGTGGCAACGCGGCACTTTCCGGGTCCAAGTTACACCAGCTTGCCGCCAAACCTTCACCCCGTGGTCAGACCTTGCGTTCCTCCGGGCAGGAGTGCCCCTGGAGCAGGTCTCCAGGCATGCTGTGGTTTGCACGGATGCCTCAACCACCGGCTGGGGGGCCACGTACAACGGGCTTGCAGTGTCAGGGGTTTGGACGGGGCCCCAACTGCACTGGCACATCAACTGCCTCGAGTTGCTGGCAGTGCACCTTGCCCTGAGCCGTCTCAAAGGGCGCTTACGAGGCAAGCATGTACTAGTCCGCAAGGACAACACTGCGACCGTTGCGTACATCAACCGACAAGGTGGTCGCGCTCCTGTCGCATGTTGCAACTCTGACCTCCTTTGGAGTCAGAAGCATCTGAGGTCGCTTCGTGCTGTTCACATTCCTGGGCTGCTCAACCGGGCAGCCGACGAGCTGTCCCGAGCTGCGCTCCCGGGAGAATGGCGACTCCATCCCCAGACGGTCCAGCTGGTTTGGAGACGTTTCAGAGCCTACTTATACTCACGCTGTGATCAGCGGCAGCTGGATGCAATAATCTAGTCTAAATTTAGTTTACACTCGAAGTAGATTGGTCTCTCTAAGCGAGATCCCAATTCGTCGGTCATCCGACGAGACGTCTCCTTCCCTCCTTCAGGGAACGAAGGTTACCATACGTAACCGAGACGTTTCCATCGTCAAAGTGCGTGCGCATATCCACAGAAATCCTGACGTGTGTGAACAAAATAACAACATTGTCGAGTCAAGTTAGCTGCGGTAAAAGGCGATAACTGGCAGGACAATAAACCACTGATTCCTGCAGTGAGTGCGATCCAAGTTACACCCATTGACCTCAAACAATACCAGAAAAATCTGTGGGTCTCTGATGGGAAGCTTGCACGACACTTAAAGCATGATCAGATGGTTAAAGTCACTGAAGGCATAGTTATTTAGAGATTACAAATTTGTTGTACCAGAGGCCCTCCAAAAACCAATAATCAAATTATATCATGATTAT